CACAGGCGCCTCTACTCCTCTCCTTCTCCAGTCCCCTCCACTCCTTTTTCTCGCGACTGAAAGTGTATAAGTATATCATACCACGAGTAATCCTGTTCGTTTGCCATGAAAAAAAAATTAACTTTCGTATTTTAGTAAGTAGATATTAATAGCCAATTAATAGTCAATTAAACTATTATTTTAAATAATTTCAATTAATATCTAGAAAAGGATATTTGATAATTTAGTTGAATAATATTTCGTGCTGTGCACTTATTACGGCAAGACTTGTAGAAAATTTAAATAAATATGTAAATGAATTGTCCACCGAACAGGATTCTTTTGAGGATCTCTGAAGACGCAATTGGCATCACCGCTCTTTTCTCGGCACACGGGATACATGCCCCTCTCATCTCTCGCAGTCTTTTTCCTCCAGCTCCTTCCGGGTATATGGCTGATTAAACGCGCAACTATGTAACGTAACGCAAATATACCTCGGGCTCGCCTTGGCTTTCCTTTTTCGGTGTTTCTCATCCCCGGACCGCGGCCCCGAAGTCATCCCCGTTCTCGATTCCACCTTTCGACTCTCTTTGAATTCCAACCCCGGTCACTTGACGGAAATATTTATCGAGGGTCTCCGACGGGTCTCCTCTCTCCCCTTTCCTTACCTTCGTTGCCCTACTGCTTCGAGCTAGACAGGACGACGACAGGGCGAGACGCGGTTCCACGTAGTTCAACCCCGATACCTTTCGTCGGAGCTCTGCACCGTTCCCTCCCTCGACTATCGCGCCCGTTCTCGCTCTCTCGCGAGTTCTTTGATCCATTTTACCGAGTTTGTTCGGTACGGATTATTTACTCTCTTAATTACATTTCGATTCTACCTCTCCTCTCGTCTTCTCAAGTCGTTCATTCGTCGTACGACTGAATGACTGATTGTCAGTTCGGCAGTGCCTGCTTTTAATGCGTTGGCGTGATCGAGCTATGTAAATCCCGCAGTCTACTACATCAGTGTAGGTATATAATAAATAAGTAGATATATAATCTTGTATTCATTGAGAGTTCATAGTAGAGCTTCAAGATTCGTTTGGATTTGACGCTATCCGGATATCCGTTTATTCGGATTATGATTATAAATGCGATGCTTCAAATTTGGGTTATCTGGATATTAGAATTTTCTAAGATACCTGAGTAATACTCGTATTATAGAAGTGTCAGATTTAAATCCTGATTTCGAGTTAAGTCCACTTTATTTGTTTATATTTTATTGATGTTATAATACTGTATAACTGCTGAAAGCGTGTGTAAGACGACCATAATTCTTTATGCGATTTTGAATATTCAATTTTTTGCTTTCTTGTTTTTTAACCCAAGTTTATAAATACAGCTTTTTTCTTTAACAAAATCAAATTAAATTTTGTTAACTTAATTTACTCTTTAATAATTTACTCCTTAATAATTTAATTTAATAATTTTAATAAATAGTTTATATTAAATTTATATGTATAAAATAAATATTCAGTATTTATTATTTAAACAATTATATTTACAATTAAAAGTCATTAAATACATCAACGTTTTCTTTTTTTCCGGATATGCATTAAATTCAGATCCGAATTCAGATTTGTATCTGAATTTATAATAGATGCGGATCTAAATTTACCCGAATAATCCGGTTTTGAGTTTTCGAAATCAAACCGATCTCGGATATCCGAATATCTGGATATCTAAATATTTAGAAGCCTCTAGTTTATAAAATATAACAAGGATAAATGCTTAAAAATTAGCCAAGTAAAGTTTTATGAATATGAAATAATACACTCTTATGTTTTATGGCTGATATCGATATTTTTTAAATAGATAAACACGCAAGTGCACAGATATATTATATTAATTCCGATAAGCGCGTTTCGATATTTCGACAAGATGATGACGTTTTTATATTCCTTCGGCTTCTCTCATCCTTTCTCGGCCCACGACGGCGGAGAATGAGAGCGCCAGGACCTGATTTACATTTCTTTCTCTTGTCGACATAAAAATTCCGCGGCGATAACTTCCTTTGTTCCACCCTCCGTGGTCGCGGGAACGACCGACCCCTGCGGCTCAAGAACTGCGGGGGGTGCCGTCGTAACCTCGTCTAGTTTCTCGTCCATATTACATTTTTCCTTAATTAAAGGCAATACACACCTTTTGGTAGCAGACGCGAATCATCTCTTGTCGTCGGCCGCGATGGAGAGAAACTTGCATTAGTTATCTCTAATGTGCAGATAAGATTATACATTAACTATTAAATATGTAATATAACTGGTGTACAGTATATTAACGGAAAGAACGATTTTGCTGGAAAGTCTAAAAATTTTAATCTGAAAATAATTTTGTTGGAAACTCGAAAATGCTAAACATTGCTGTAAAACGGTTTAATATTCTAGCAATCAATTTAAGTTTCCAATAAAATTATTTAGATGGTCCTATAAGAATTATTTTCAGACCTGTATCCAGCAAAATCGTTCTTTCCGTGTATGCTACATGGAAAAAAAATTCCTGTTGCCATAACATAATAATTGTAATAATTTTCACCCATTAATTTAAAAGGGTTATAGGAGTTAAAATAATTTGGAAGGGACTTATATAGTTAACTGAACTCTCGGCCTCAATGTTGTGACGTGCAACTATATCATATAGGATATACATTATATCTCTCAATCATACTATTGCTGTACAGACTATATTAGAGAGATAACAATAATGCTTCGGTTGAGGCTACCACATAGTCCATATATAAAGATATTCTAACCGAATGTTATTTAACCCAAACACTACTTGTGACAACCGTATTGATGAGCATACCTTAACAGATGTTTGTCATGTAACATCAATATAACTTAAATTCACATGCATTTTTTTCCAAATATAGAGAATATTATTGTAACGTCCACAGCAATTTTTTCCGTGCAATTTTGATACAAAATAAAACCCAATTAATAAAACAAATTAATAAAAATATATGAAAGTATTTTAATATTTTATATTTTAAAATTACTTTTATTATTTCGAGCGTATTTTGAAGATTTATATAGATTATAAAAAAATAAAAAATTTTGATGTAGAGAAACTAATTTTTATTTTAATATTACGTATTTTGAAATTATTTATTGCATTCAATGTGCATCTATATTATATAACAGAAAAACAGAATTAAAATATTTTAAATAAAAATTGTATATTGTTATACAATATAACAGTTGGGTTATTTGATTAATTTTTTATCATAATAATAAGAAAACATATTTCTATTGACTCTGACATTGCTGATATTGATTAAATAATTAATTTTTAATTATCAAATATATTTGAAGACTCTAAAACGTTCACGATCCGTCTGCGTATTACATTCGTGTTAATTAAGATTCAAACGCGGACAAATGATGACAACAATTCGTTGGGCTCGAACATCCTTCTATGCGACATTACGCGAACATAAAGTTCAGGGCCCGGTATAAAACGCCAATCGTCCGAGCAGCTTGATCGCTTTTTAAGTTAGACGATAATTACCATTATATTTTCGCGGAAGTTTTCGCAATCGTACCTTGAGAATTGCGTCGAAAGTGTCCAGAAACGACGATCGAGCGGACCGTAACCGTGCGACGTTTCGCAACTTTATACGTTCCTGATAATCTTCCGGAGAGCTCCCGGACGGTTATTCGCGGTGGTCGTCCGGATTTATGAAATGGCAATAAAATTTATATGACTCAGTGGATCGTTAGGGGTGCGGCTCGCTCGTTCAGATTGATGTCGGTTGCGCCGCGAGTCTGGTCCACTTGCCCGAGGCTACGTTTGTTTCTCCCTGCGATCGTCGTAGAACGGTCCACGCTCATTATTAATCCCTTGGAAATCGCGACAGTCATTTTATAATCACCGTGCAGAATGAAAAAGAACTATGTTTACTATCTGATATTTGAATCAATTCGAAATATTATAGAAGATTAAATGTAGTAGTGCGCATATTGCATATTGAAATTCATTCTTTTTATTTTAATTGTAAAAACTCATAGCGCATAGATTGATTTTTGAGATTTACATTGGACGTGTAAATTTCATATATACATTAGTTTTAATTATGTTTCATTAATTCAATAATTCATTAATTTAATTTAATTGCGTAATCTACTTATTTATTATATTTGTGAGTAGTGTGCGAAGAAAATTGATATATATATTTTAATATGACGCAAAGATCAATGGACAGATATGTGAGTTAAGTAAAATTTTGTAAACCAAGCTACGGTCTTGGCAATTTTGTATGATTGAAGTGATCGAATAAAATTCTATTTATTCTATATTTAAGAGCGTGACGCAGATTAATTGCTTTTAAATTTGTGCATAACTGTAACATCAATTAAATGAAATAAGTCGATTATTTCAAAATTTTTGCATGAGTTTATGTTTTTATGAAATAAAAATATATGTACTTTATTAACTTTAATTAAAGATGCTATCAGATGCTATTAGATAAAATAGGTAGATGATTCCGTCAAATATTCGTTACGTAATGTATTAAGAACAAAGAAAATTTAGCTTTTATAATATATTTTATCAATTAACCTTCAATAAACATGGACGAAAGAGTTCGCGACGTGTCTTCTGCATAATCTTGCTTTTCCACCGTTTGAGCTCGAGCAGCGGGAAGCGAAAAAAAAGGTGCTTCTGATAACTCACTTATGCAGTGAATCACGCGTGTGCTCTGCCGAGCATGATGCCTCGAGGACATGTCTGCTCTACCTGTTGCTCAATTCCCCATCGACGGTAGCAAGTATCGCGCGAAGAATTCGACGGCCTCTTTCTCCTCCTCCGCACTTTCTCCCACCGATCGCGACGCGGAAGAATTCGCAAGCCGCCAAAAGCCGACGGCAATGTGAATTCTCAGAAAGTAAAATAATTTTCGTAGGCGTTAAGTAACTGGCGGCTGGTCGATTTAATTGTAACGTTATACGAGTAGTGACCGCGTTGCGTTTGTTTTGTTGCAGGTGGACGACCGAGTCAGATCACCGGGAACATCACGATGCCTGACCGCTACTACCATGTCGCTCTCCATCTCGCCCTCTAGCCCCGAAGAACCTGTTACGCTGTAAGTAATATATATGTATATATCACGCAAATTTCAGGGAGCCGTCTGCCGCGCGGTGCTTCAGATGTTGTTATCAAGATGGACGGTATCAAACATCTCTACGATGTCTATCTCTGCTAGAATAGCTCCGCTTGCCTCCCGCTTGTAGATAACAAATGAGGATCGAAGAGACGCGCGTCGAAATAATACATTTGTATTATGGACAAAACAAAATTTATCTTGAACATTAAATCAAGGTACGGAACAACGTAATAATGATTTATTACTTCTGTGATATAATAAACTAAATCTCTAAATGCACAATTTTTTTTTTATAATATTAAAATAAAATTGCATAATGTTCGGCACGAAAGTACAGCTTAGAGAAAAATAAAACAGAAAAGGGAATGATGACAAACGATCAAATATATATTTTGCTACGTGCATAATGAATAATATGGCGATTCGCTTCTCTGCATTATTTAAGAAAATTAAAAGTCGCGGTAAATTTAGGGATGAGACTCCGCGCGATCCTCTTGCAGCTTCCTTTCCGCGATCCAAAAAGCCACTCAGGCAAATTAGTCCTGCGATACAGCGACGGTGTTTCTCGTGTGGCGCTACACCGCCCGCTTTCGAGCGTTTCTTCTCTCTTACTGTCGCCGGCTCTTTCCAGCCGCACCGCATAGACGGTAGGGGCCACGCGGAAAGACATACGAGAGGAGGGAGGGAGGGAAAAAGAGAGAGAGAGAGAGAGAGAGAGAGAGAGAGAGAGAGAGAGAGAGATGATATTTATGCCAGTTTTTTATTGCGCTTTAGCTCGAGAGAGCAGAATGGAAACAATATGTCACCCCCGGTAGGGAAAGCAGGGGTGCAGTTGCGAGGATGGGAGAGAAGGAGGCTGTGTGCGGAACTTCTTGTAGGTGGCCCGACCGGCGGTACCTAACGTTAATACTAACGCCTCCGCGCCGTGCTAGCGCCCTCCGACCGACGTCATGATTTTAAATGAACAACCTCTCCCCCCCGTTTCTCCCTTTTAGCCCGAAAACACGGGCGAATGGCGCGGGATCGCTGCCGCGCGCGCGTTTCCGCGATACCGCGCGCGTGTTAAGCGATTTTTGAATTTGCCCGCATTGTGCCCATTATTTCCATCTCGAATTATTCAGCGTAATTGATTGGCGCAGCGTACGATTAAGAGTGAGTGTGTATTTTCCGTGCGGAAAACACTCGCGCGCGTATAAATATTTGTGAGCTCCAGGCAGAGAGCGAGTCAAAATAAATTGTCTCGTTTGCACGGCATAAAGAGATTTTAGCCTCACAGTGATAGTGGAGAAAATAAGCAATCGTGTAAAGGTACCGTATGTGTGTTATCTAAAGTTTGATAATTTCGTTTTTCCGTACGTAGATAATTTGAAAACTTTTTTCGGCGGAAAGATGATTAGATAGCTCAGTTTTCCTCGGGATAAATTTCATTTCGCAACTTACAATTTAAAAATGCATATACCGAAGACGTGCAAGCGCCGGGTAACGGGGCGCAAGAAAATGAACCTGTGCAGCAAGAGAGAGAGAGAGAGAGGAGATTTCGCGTGCACTCTCGTGAGTAAATATAGACCAAACTGTATAAATAAATCTCCGGTAATCTCGCGGCGAGACCGAAATATTCGAGGTTGGACAATTTCCGGCGGTTCTGCTTATCGTTCGGAAGTGCGCGGAAGAGAAAAGGAGGAGAAAAAAAACCCCCGAGAGAGGAGAGAAACGAAAAAAGGGAAAGGAGGGAGGACTCGTTATTCGGGGTCTCAAGAGTCATCGGATAAGTGCATATCGATTTCTCCCTATTGGCGAGGGTCGGGCCGTCGGTAAGATCGAGGCGAATGGGAAAAAAGAAGGCGGTAAAAAGGGCAAAGGCTATAAGTAACGGACCGTCTGGTGGAAAGCGCTCGAGGGCGAACAGTGATTTAGAGAAATTAAAACTTTAATTCATGTTCGGGTTCATGGGGGAGGGGGCGAGTTGTGTCCTCTCTCTCCCCGCCTCCTCTGTCCTCTATCCCTCTCCCTGCTCCCGACCGCTGCTCCACCCTGTGGCATTCTCTGTCCCCGTCGATCGACCGAAATCCCGCTGCTCTCCGCGCGTAAATTGGCAAGCCCAACTAGTGCTCGTTTTGCTTTGCCATTCTCGCCGCTCTTCTGTATTTTCATATGAATATTAATCCCGTGTTACGTAAGCTTACATGCCACGGAGCAATATATTCATTAGGGAATGCGTGTAAATGCGAGATAATTTATTTAAATAATTTACATTGTTCACAATTAGTTATTGAAATAATTCCTTGGCTGAAGTTAAATCATATTCTCTGCTGACATAGTTATGTATTATAAATAACACAATTGGCGGTCCAGAAAATGTAAAAGATTGTCTTGTATAATGCAACGGGAACGTTATTCAGCAAATGATACTTAATAGCTACTTGTTTATCGATTGTGAACCTGTAAAATTGGATAATTTGTAATAGGAGGTCGGGCGAGCAAATGCCTCAGAGTCGGTCATCCGCGTCGTCAGATGGCAATTATATCACTCTGATTTAAGTTGCACATGTATTTTATAACTCAATAACGTCCAATGGGTCCGTATGGCCGATTACACAAGAGGCGAATACAAATTTAATATTGCTGAATAAAGGAGCGCGATGTATACGCCACCGCTTATATAATGTATATTCTTAAAGCATTTTCTCCCCGAACTGATATAAATTATCCATAAGCTCTCTTCTATGGATATTTTTCCGAAAATGTATTGGCGTTCATTCCCCAACTTCGTGTAACATCAACGTAGTTAAAGAAAACCATTGCTATGAATGTAATTTATGAGGATCACGTTTTCGCAAACTTTGTTATTAGTTTCAAGCGGATTATCTTTGATACAATTTTAATTTGAAATCTTCAAATTAATTTTGCTTAATTAAATGTTTAACTCAAATTTCCGAAATGTTATGTATAATTTTTATTATGAGAAAACGCGCGATACTTAACACATTTTCACACTGTCACTTTTTACGGTGTAATATTGTTACTTATAATCGTGAAGAATTCTAAAAAGCAACGCGTACTCGCAGACAAAAGCGTCATGATAAATCTGCATTTCGGAAGACGTCCTTACAAACTTTTATGAGCCATGCAGGATACAGAATATGAGGAAAGGACGTACCCTTTATCTTCCTTTCCCTTAGTCTGCTGTCCCTATCGCGGTTTCTCTCTCTCTCTCTCTCTCTCTCTCTTTCTCTTCGTCCATCCTTCTTCCGTACTCTTCTTCTCCCTCTCCTCGCCACTGCGCATCGCGCTTTGGCTTTTAGGGCAACCTCCGCCTCCAATAAATTCCCATCACCAGCTTCCAGGTACGCCTTCGTCGAGTAAATCATACCGTAAGTGAATCCGAATTGAATGCAATGAGTAAATATGGCTCTCGTGTAATGAAAGGCAACCACGAGTGTCTGGCAGAAGCCACGACAACCGATTTCCAATTCAAGAGAATCTTTTTTTGCCATATTATATTACGTACAACTGCAATTTAAATTTATTCTCGACATCTTACGCGTGCATTTCCTCACACCTTGCGCTCACGGCACTTTCGAGGAAATTCCAGCTCTTTGCGTCTCCATATCGCGACCGTTATTATTTTTCTTTATTGCGCGCGAAGCGAATACGGCCGATTTACGCGTGTTTTCGACGTGGTTTCCGCCCGCATGTATGCGTGAATGCGGAGTCAAGGAACAGCCAGTCGGTGGAAATGCATAAATACATGAGTCGCGGGGCAACGAGCGAAAGAGGGAGACAAGGCTTGGCCCGCATATGTAGCGCGCGACTCGTGCCTCGTAATAACGTGTGGATAGCGGCTCTCTTGTCGTGAAAATATGGTCTTTCAAAAGCCTGTAGTTTCCCCCTCGAAAAACGGGCACGGTTTCGCCCGCCGTCGAAAAAAGGAGCGAGACGACACATGAGAAATGACAATCTTATTCCACAGCTTCCTGTCACTAACTCCGCTCACGCTCGACGATTCCGCGTCTACGGCGCAACTTCCCTTTTGTCATCGCACCGTGATAATTTTTTGTCATATACGCATTGTTATCCTTGGAAATGTATTTTAATAAGATTTATGTTAAAACTTTTGCAAAATTAAAATTTAATTAGATATCTTATTATGCGCATAGTAAAGTATTAAAGAATACGAGTGTCTCCCATTGATAGTCTTTCAGCCGACTGTAACGCAATTGACGGTTGCGAGGGACCATTAAATTTTCGTGAACGTGACTCTCGAGATTTTTCCTAATTCCAATTGCGATCGACTCGATTAAAAGTCCGAAGGAGACCGCCACATGGAGGAGGAGCGGAACGACGAAGCGATGACTGCGTCGCGAGGAGCGCGGAAACTGAATACAAGGGGATGACTCTGCAGGCATTAGAGAGGCGAGATTCGCATTCCCGCATTACTGTCACGCGAGTAATTACGCACCGTCGAAAGCAACGGCGCGGCGGGCGGTGGTGACGGGGGGACGGCGGTGGATGCAAGGGACGAAAGGAGCGGGTGGAGTCGGAAGGGTTGCCTGTCGCTGCGCCACTGGCTCGGCGTCTCTCCCGGCGCGGGCGTTGCGCGATTCGCAGCCAACGGGAGAAACCAGAGCTAATAAAAGCCCACAATTACCTCCGGTTCGAGCCATTTGTCTTGACGGGCGTCTCATGCCCGATATAATTCACCCTGGCAACAACACATTGTTGCCTAATGAGGTGTAAAACATTCCGAGATATCTGGCTGTCTCGGGCTGCGAGGGCGGTTTCCGTAGAGGCGATTCACGATATCGCGATAGTCCTTTCCCCGCCGCGCCTTTGCGCCTCGGTCTGATTCTTCTCCGTTTTCGAGAGTCCTCGTGGGATCTCGGCGAAATTTTCTACCCGCGTAGCGACCTTTCTTTAGGAGTCTCAGTCACGAGAATTAATCGCGAGACAAATTTTTGATAAATCTTAAATTGCATCTG